TATTCTCCGCACTTTTTACCTAGCTAACAATAAACTTTCTGGGTATTCAGTTCGTCATTTATTTCATTAAGGTTTTGTCATAGACGCCCAACATCTCAACTCGTCTCAGATAAACACTCTCACCCTTCAGAGTGTAGACTACTTCCCTCCTAACCTTTTATGAATACTTGCATAGTCCGTAAGCTTATCATTTGTACAGCCTCTCTTCATTTACCTGAGTTCGTCTGAACAGGCTACCTGATCCGTCAGCACACTTGAACGGACTTTCTGGTCATTCAGCTGTAAAAATTATCAGACACTACCACTCCAACTCATACCTAATTATTCAGTTCGCCTGTATAGATAAGTTGAAGTACATATAGCTATAGCAATATTTCGTAGACCGGCAGTCCGAAAGTCTTCCATAAACGGGCGGAAAATCATAGAAAATCTACCATATACGAGCTGAAAGTCCAATATGATTATCAGACATTAGGCTGAGAGGACAGGGGAAAAAATCCTGCAGAGGTGAGTAAAATAAGGCCAGGAAACAATCATAGAAAGGTAGAAGGTTCAGATATTATATCATATGATTCTGGGATCGAAGGGCTAAAGGACCAATGAATATATAGTAGAAAATCTGCAAGATCCATCTTCTCTGGAATGAATCGTTCATGACATACTCTCCGACTCTTTAGTTTCTCTCAGATAGAGTTCTTGACATTTTAGCTTATCTGACCAGATACCTCGCCCATCAACTCTTCTGTTCAAACTTCCTGACCCTGCAGCTTTTCTGTACTTTATATACTCCTCACGATTAGGTTCATCCACCAGACTCCCTGATCGTTAATCCTGTATATTATAGACTTTCTGTTCTCTTCGATTGTTTAGGAAAAGCTGTCTTATACTTCAGCTCATCTGTACAGGCTATCAGACATTTGAAATTGTTTTTTGAGAGACTTTCAATGGACGAATCTGGAATTCTTCAGATGGCATGTACAGAATCCATGGCACCTCAGCATGGTTATATAGATTATTAGGCTGGTTTGTCCATAATGCCTGCCTTTTCTTTAATCGCTGAGTAAAAATTATGGACTAGTCCTTCTGTTTTTTTCCACAGAATATTTAGCCTGCCTTCGATGTCTTAATAGAATTTCAGCTAATACAATCTCAGACCCTATACATTCAATGAAGGATATCCTATACTTTGCAAGGGTATCACTTAGAATCTGCAACATGTCTGTAAAAAGTCCTTGGTCTTTTGGCCCTCGGCCCTGCCGGAACATTCTAATTTTCCCTTAAGTTTGTCTTTAGCAGACCTCTGAACCTTTAAATCTTCAATGAATGAATCTCTGGTTGTTCACTTGCTTGAACGGAATTCATAACACTTTAACTGGGTTGTATAGATTCCGAGGACTTCCAAATTTTCTGAACGAACTCCCAGATTCTAGAAGTTTGTCTATAAGAAAATTCCTGGTATTTCAGATTTTCTTTCTGATCAGTCAACTTGTCAGTAAAACTTATCCATAGACTCCGTATGCCTTCGCAGACTCTAAAGCATGACAGTTCGGAGTTTTTAGCACTCTACCTACTGTGCATACACTGTTAAATCATTTACCATTACAGCAGGATAGCCTGGTCCTTTGGGTCATATGATTTGACTCCTTGAAAATGGAGAACGCCTATATAAATTCCTGGGATTTTCGGATGTCCTGTACTGATCCTTGAGTTGTCTGCATAGTCAACCTGTAACTTAAGCTTTCCATTGGAAGATTTTCTGACTCGATGGGCCTTCAAGTTTATTGTAAAGTATCCATGACACTTTTACTTGTTTATACAGATTATCAAGTATATTCCATATTTCAGCTAGTCTATAATGCCTTGCATTGACTCTGAATACACTTTAGAACGTCAGTACGGACTTATTAGTCCTCCATCATCTGTATATACACCCTCAGACCGTTTACATTTTCTTTTACCACGTATAATTTGATTCATTTAACCTGCAATTCTTGACCAATCTCACCTGCTCCTCCATCTTCTCCATGATAGGATTACCATTGTTCGAAGATGGACAATATCGCTTGACGTTTTGTATTTCGATACAGATCCTTAATATTTTCGATATTTTTAAGACTTTATCGACAGTGGCTTTTACTTGATAATCTAGGTTGCTGGAGGACTAGAAATATCATTGCTGATTGTGGCATTCGGGTTTCTTGAAAGGAGGAAACAATTTTTGCAGATAGTTATTAACATAGGCCCATCTTGTGGCATACCGTCTATATAAACACCCTCTCTATTTTCAAAATTTCACTAAAATTTGGCATTTGGAGATCTTGATGACGTACTTACTTTCAGAAAATTTTGAAGATTTTCCATGTGTTTATAAAGACCTCAAAAGTTCATCTCTGCGTTGGTCATTATACAGGGTTTCGCTGACTGTTCCCACCAAATTGGCTGAAATTTAGAATTCTGGATTTATAGTCTTTGTTTGGACATATCCCCTATATTAAGGACCCGATTTCTCCACCCGAAGTGTCTGTAATTTGTATAAAATATTTTGAAAAAAAAAAAAATATATATATATATATATATATATAACCAGTAAGGAAAGTAGTAAAGTCGGACTGGGCCGACTATATGATACCCTTCACCACTTTAGAGATATATATAGGGACTTTGGAGACCCATTTACCAAAAATCGGACGAAAATATATATTGGAGCTATATATAAATCTGACCAGATTTTCTCGAAACTTAGCACACGTCATTCTTGACCTAATTCAGTACTTTATGCCAAATTTCATGCAAATCGAAAGATATATAGGGGCTTTGGTGCCCCATTTACCTTAAATCGGACGAAAATATATATGGGAGCTATATCTAAATGTGGACCGATTTTCACGAAACTTAGCACACATCATTCTGGACCTAATTTAGCACGCTGTGCCAAATTTCATGCAAATCGAATGATATATAGGACCTTTGGTGCACCAATTACCTTAAATCGGTTGAAAATATATATGGGATCTATATCTAAATCTGAACCGATTTTCCCAATTTCAATAGGGTTCGTCTTTGGGCCAAATAAGTGACTTGTGCCACATTTAATCCATATCGGATCATAAATGCGACTTGTACTTTGTTTACAATTTAACATCTACAGACCGACGGACGGACTTGCATAAATCGACTCAGAAAATGATTCTATGCATATTCTCAAAAGGAACTATGTGTCTATCTCGTTTCCTTTTGCCTGTTACAAACATATGCACAAAGACATACAGGGTCCACAGTGTGGTGAAGGGTATAAAAATGGGTCCATGTTTTAACAGTCCAGTCCCATTCTGAGAATTTTTCAACCAAATTAATTGGAATTCTGATTGCTTAGAGAACATATTTCCAGGAAAATTTCCAAAACATTTTTGACCATCCACACAATGACGCATGTTGCTGTCGGTATGTTGAACAAACTAGCCTAAGGGCCCCTAATAGGGTACATTAGTTTCTCTAAGCATGAAAACCTTTCTACCAGGCTATTTACAATGGATTAGACCCCATATTAAAGTATCGATGGATTGAAGACATTTTGAAGGAACACCACATTGTGGAGGGTAAATTTCCGGTCCGTCCTATATTAACTACTTTTTTTGCTTCTTACCTCGTTCCCTGGTTAATTTCATTGCCATATAGTGCACTTTTTTTCTCCAATCGCATTTTTCGAACTGTTCCAGTTAGCGAAGCATGGCCTTTGTTTTAGCGCACATCTCTCGTGCCATATATAAACACTAACAGATTTTGTTAATAGAGTTCTCTAAAGCGACACTTTCGATTGTCTTTGGAGTAACTTATGTGCAAATTAAACTTTAAGTATGTTAACATTACGCCCTCTCCCACTTTCCCCCCGCGTCCCATCACACAGTGATTGTGTGTGTGTGGACACACTGAACAAAAGCTGAATGTTTAACAAGGACTAAAACAACGTTTAGAGAGAGATAATGGAAGAGAATGTGAAAACAAAACGGGGAAAAGAAAACAGAAAAGTGATGATGAACCCGAAATCGGTGAAAATATTAAAGAAGAAGAAGATGGAGTAGAAGTAGCAAAATTTTAAAATGAAAATGCTGGAGTTACCTCCTCTAAATAGAACTTGACTTCTTCGGAGGGTTTTTAGTTGTTGGCTCATATCTAATGAAATGACTATGAATAATAAAGACAATGGACGGAAAAGACAACAGCAAATAAGGCAGCGGAAAAAAATCACTAAGGCGGGATTATGAGGAAGTGTGCGGAAAGGAGAAGAATAGGAAAACAAAGGTGAAAAAGGCCCAAACAGTAAGTGGAGCAAATGTCGAACCCCATTGCCAGCTTAAGCTCTACAACGAAGTGTTCGCCCCCCCCCCCCCCACTTCTATTAAGCCATTGTAGAAGAAAAACACAGTAGCGGAACTCCACGATCCGCACCACTTAAACACGTCAACCCAAAATGGAATAAATAGAAAATGGAATTGGAATATTTATGCTGCAATTTCGCATTTCACTCGCTCGAAATGCTATTTACATTTGAGTATTTGCATAATTTACAGAAAATGATTCGGCTTTCGTTTCAGCTTCAGCATCGCCATTCGGCGTGTTTACCTTTCTTAATACTCATTTCATTATTAATCTCATTAATAAGAAAATGGAAATAATTAAAACAGAGAATGAAAATAAAATAAGCAAAAAAGGAAAGAAAAAAACACGAAAGAAAACAGAAAAGGCAATAGCCAGCGGAACGAAGTTGACTTGGGCTGTATAATGAACTTTAAAATTAACAAGGTGAAATGAAATGATTTAATTTTTTTTTCTACAACAAACAAATTAATTCTCAATAATGAATAAGGATCAGAATGAGGGAATTTGGACTTTAAAATATATATATATATATATATATATATATATATATTTAAATCTTAAATGGTATCTGAGAAATTCCTGAGAAATCTGAGAAATTCCATACTTCGGTTTCAAGTAAGACAATGTTAGCCACCGCTTGGGTGTCGATTGTCAAAAATGGTATGTCTCACAGAGCCAGAGCTCTTATCGATCCCTGTTCGGATGACTCCTTTATCTCTGAAAGGATTCAAAGATTTTTAAATCTACCCACAATGCCAATAGCGGCAGAAATTAGTGGACTTGGTGGCGAATGCCTTGCAAGGTGCTCCAGTATTGCAATGTTAACAATATCGTCGATCGTGAATCCTAATTTTTCAATGGAAATAGAAGCTTTAGTTGTCCCAGATGTCACAGGAAATGTCCCAACTCACGCATTTAGTAATGTTAGTAAGGAGCATTTGCCCAATTTAAAATTTGCAGATCCAGAATTTTTCAGAAGTGCCCCAGTTGATTTACTCATAGGAGGAAATCTATACCCTGTGATTCTACTCAGTGGAGTAGAACATGGTATTCTGGGATCGTTGGTAGCGCAGGAAACGGTTTTTGGATATATCGTAACCGGCCCAACAAATAACAGTGCCTCAAGACGTATAACAAGAGCTTCTCATTGTACAAGAGTGTCCATTGACGAGCAATTGGCTCGGTTCTGGGAAATTGAGGAAATCCCCATTAAAGCTAAGGTCTCTGATGAAGACATACATTGTGAAAATATTTATAAAAATACAGTGAAAAGAAACTCCGAGGGGAGATATGTAGTTGATTTGCCCTTTAAAGAGGAATTACAGGCAAAAGCGGCATTTACATCAAATAGATTCATAGCACTGAGCCAGTTTCTACGAAACGAACAGTCTATGAGCAGAAAACCTGAATTTAAAGCGATGTATGACTCGGTCATACAGGAATATTTGTCTCTGGGACATATGGAATTAGTAGAATCTATTCCTTCAAATAATAAACCTTGTTTCTATCTGCCCCATCATGGCGTGTTCAAACCCGAAAGTGTAACAACAAGACTTAGGGTGGTTTTTAATGGCTCTTGTCCGACGGCGACGGGTAAGAGTCTTAATGATTGGTTATATGTGGGACCTGTCCTTCAAAAAGATATAATTTCATTAATACTGCAATGGCGCCTGTATAAGTTTGTCTTTAACGCTGACATATCAAAAATGTACAGGCAAATCTTGATTAATCCTAAACACGCCAACTTTCAACGGATTGTGTATCGACCTTCCCCTGATGAGGAAATAAAAGATTATAAGTTAAAAACTGTCACCTTCGGTCTCAATTGTGCACCATACTTGGCCCTTAGAACTTTACAACAACTGGCCCAAGATGAGGAGGATAGGTTTCCCATAGGTGCAAAAATTTTAAGAGAGAATATGTATGTTGATGATGTATTAGTAGGCACACATTCTATTGCGGAAGCAATGCTGGCAAAGGGACAACTAATTAGTATACTTGAATCTGCTGGGTTCAATTTGCGTAAATGGACATCGAATGACAAAGAAATTATTAAAGATTTACCCCGAGATCATCTCTTAAATGGAGAATTCCTTGATTTCGATGACAAAAGTTTGGCGAAAACATTGGGAATACGATGGAATGCTGTCTCTGATACATTTTATTTCATGGCAGATGATATTAAAAGTAAGCACTCATTTACAAAGAGAAGAGTTTTGTCAGTCATAGCTCGGCTTTTTGACCCTTTGGGTTGGCTTGCGCCAGTCTTGATCACAGCAAAAATATTCATGCAGCAATTGTGGTTGGATGACATAAAATGGGATGATGAATTGAAGACATTGTCTTTGCTAAAATGGAAATCATTTCTTGAAACCTACACGGATATTAACAAAATAGAAATACCACGTTGGATAAAATATTCACCAGAGTGTACTCTACAATTTCATGGATTCTGTGATTCGTCTGAATTAGCCTATGCAGCCGTATTATACGCGAGAGTAGAAATAGGAAATATTATCTCCACAAATATATTGGTTTCTAAGACGAAAGTTGCGCCAATTAAAAAGGTATCTTTGCCTCGGTTAGAGCTTTGTGGAGCTCTATTACTAGCAGAGCTAGTTCACACGTTTTTGCCTCAATTGGGGATGGAAAAGCATACATTGTGCCTCTGGTCGGATTCAACAATTGTCCTGGCATGGCTCAAAAAACCGTCAAACACATGGACAACCTTTGTGGCCAACAGAGTAGCCAAAATCCAAGAGATGGTAGGTGACAATTGGAAACATGTATCTACATATGACAACCCCGCAGATCTAGCAACCCGGGGGGTGACTCCTCTGGAGCTCAAAGAGAAAGATTTGTGGTGGTTTGGTCCAACATGGCTCACAAATGACGAGAAAGACTGGCCGTCGAACGTTCATATACCAGATGTAGATCTTGAAAGCAAGATTTCCAAAGTCCATGTCGCTAGATCTTCGGAACTGGAATCCGAGGAAAAGGGAAGTGAAGATGACGGCAAAATTGATGATCCAGAGAGACATCTGAAATATATCCACCGTTTTACAACCGCAGTGCATGTTTTCGGATATATTGAAAGATTTATCAAGGCCACTCTCCCTGCCACTAAAAGGTCGTACGAGTACGAAAGTTCAAAGTTGACGGCAGTGGAACTGTTGGCGGGACGTAAACACTTGATCATGCTTTCTCAAAAGATATATTTTCCAAAGGAGTACAAGGCTTTATCTCAAAAGAAGCCGCTCGACAAAAGGAGTCCTCTTCTAACCCTCACACCCTATCTCGACAATGACGGCCTTATTAGAGCCAATGGTCGTCTCGGATCCACATTGTCTTTGTCTCACAGCGAAAGACATCCCTTTATTCTGTCCCCAAAGAGTAAATTCACAAAACTTTATATCTCGTTTATCCACGACATGACTAATCATGGTGGAACTCAGTTGATGATGGCAACCATTCGCTTAGAATGCTGGATCATTCGAGGAAAAACCTTGATTAAAAGCCATATAAACAATTGTATGAAATGTGTCCGAGCTCGTATGAGACTACAAGGGCAATTGATGGCTACACTTCCCCCGGAAAGGACGAGTTTAAGTAGACCTTTCGCCAACACCGGAGTTGACTACGCAGGTCCATTTGACCTCAAAACCTTTTCTGGTCGAGGTTGCCGCACAGTGAAAGGTTATATATGCTTATTCGTTTGTCTTGCTACTAAAGCGATCCACTTGGAAGCCGTGAGTGATTTATCTACCCCGGCCTTTATGGCAGCTCTTGCCCGATTTGTATCGAGACGCGGCTGTCCCAATAAGATTTTCTCGGACAATGGTCGTAATTTCGTTGGCGCTGCTCGCGAAATTAAAACCAACTTTCGAAAGGTCGTTTCTGAGATAAAAGAAAGGTCCATAGAACAATACGGACATCAGCACCTAGAATGGAGCTTCATACCAGCCTCTGCCCCTCACATGGGAGGATTATGGGAGGCGGGAGTTAAGAGCTGCAAGATGCATCTTAAAAAAATCGCAGGTCAAATTCATCACACATACGAAGAATTTAGTACCATCTTAGCAGCCATTGAAGCTTGTCTGAATTCGCGACCTCTAACTCCACAGTCTGATGATATTGATGATCTCACAGCTCTAACTCCGGGTCATTTTTTGATTGGCTCTGCACTGTTATCTCCAGCAGAGCCCGAAGAATTCCCAACGAAGATAGCTATGCTCAATCGTTGGCGTAAGCTGAAATTGGTTCAGCAAGAATTCTGTCGCAGGTGGAAATGTGATTACCTCAAAGAACTCAACAAAAGAAATAAATGGAAAAATCCATCACCAAATCTGCAAGTGAATGATTTAGTTGTATTGTCTCAGGAAATGGGAAGCCCTAATGAATGGAGATTAGGGCGTGTGATAAAACTGTACCCTGGTTCTGATGGACTTGTCAGAGTTGTGGATTTAAAAACTCCGTCAGGCATCTTACGCCGTCCTGTTCACAAATTGGTTCTTCTACCCCGTTCATCCTAATCCAATCACTAGTCCTATCCCAACCAGTTTATACGCTTATCATCACATTTTTATATATTATAAACTAATCAATAATTCCGTTTTTCTCCAGCCATGATGTTCCAGGATGAATACCGATGCCCAATTTGTCAAACACGACATTCCTTGCGTTTGTGCCGCTCTTTCTTGGCAATGGATCCGCAACAAAAGAATGAGTTTGTAGCAAAAAACCATGCTTGCGAGAACTGCCTTGGAATTTCCCACACCATAGAGAACTGCCGAAGTAACTCTGCGTGTCGACGATGCTGGTTTGGACACCACACGCTTCTCCACAAACTGAATGCACCAAAGGAAGAGTGGTTGAATATGACTGCATTAGCCCTCATACACCGTCCCCAGGTAGACAACAAAAAACATATTGTGCGATTGTTGCTGGATCCAAATGCTAGTGAAAGCAGTTTTTATAAAGGTACTGCTTACGCTCCCTTTGAAATCAATGACGACCTCCAGACTCTCAAAGTCCAATTAACCGACCGCCACAGTGAAGTTAGAACGCTGACCGTGCAGCTGAAAGTGAAGAACGGTCCACCACCAGCAGATACTCCTAAGAGCCATTGTCTCCCAGAACAGGTGTGGAAAAAATATGACCAAGAAGATGTGGCCGATCCATCATTTTACTTGAAGCATTCATGTGCGGTGATATTAGGAAAAGATGTTGCAAAATCCATTTACCTTGGTTTGCCTCATGAAGAAAATGGGCTCCCATACATGCAAAATACCATATTTGGTTATACTTTTTTTGGCACTATTGCCTCCGATGAGGAAGGTAACCTTGAAGAGTCTATCTGGTTCAATAAGAATATTATATAGAATATACGATTTTAGGAAACTATAATGTTTATATGTGTATATAAAATTAATTTTGTCTCTGAAGGCCATTGTATTATTTTAAAGCTGTTTCTTGATATACCCCTGGTGGGTGTTATATAAATTGAATTATATTGTTAATTATTTTGAACGTATCGTCCAAAGGGAGGCGGTATGTTTATGTACGCAGGAACATCATTAATTTTATAATATTATTTTGAATTATTATTAATTACATATTGTAAGAACTTACATAGGCTTCACATTACATCGTGTCATACCTCCTTAATTCTGCGTAATCTCATCCCTGCGTACATAAACAATCTGTCCCATCACTGACGTCATATTTGCTGATCTCTCTCTCCATTTGTATTTTCTTTGGTATTTTTTTATTATTATTGTTGAGATCGTCGTGACGGGCAGAACATAGAACAAGAAACAAAAACCAAACGAGTGAACATAAGTTAAACAAACTACCTTTTTTCTGAAACCAAACATAAAAGAAACTGAAAGTGATTGTGACCTCAAATTTATTTGTAAACGAGAAAGAAATCTAAACCAAACATTGAATTCAATAATAAACTAAAATTGCATTGGAAAATAAACCAAAAATTAAAGTGATTTTATTTGCCTCAGATAGGTTTCTTTTCTAACTATCAAAAGGTGTCCTAGACTCCAGTGGTTAACACCAAATCTTGCGGTGATTATCATCAGTCACATAAACCATTTGTTGCCGTGTTCCCCTTTTGTTGTTGTTGTTGTGCTTGGGAGTTGTTGCTGCTGGTGTTCCAGTACCATACCTTTGTCCCTGGGATATTTGCAGTGCCGGAGTAAGTTGTGTGGTAAACAAACAACGGCCTTTATATGAGCTTCTATAGATCGACTGATATTTATAATTTTTGGTAGCATTATTTGCCACCCAATTAGAATTGCAAATATCAAACTAAAGCAACATATTTTTAAAAAGTTATCTGAAATCCGCAACATACCAGACATAGAGTTTTCCTACAACACAGAATTCTGCGGATTAATTGATTGCCAAATAATGCTACGTTTATAGGAACATTATTCCGAAATATAAAATTACTCCCCACTATGTTCGACCGGGCCGATATTTATATACCCACCACCATGTGGTGTACATTCTATTTTCCTTAAATTGATTGGGACTTCTTTATATAAAAACTATGGTATTATGTGGTAGTAGATTGTTCAGAGTCTGAAAAAATAATATTCCATATAACAGACCCTCAGGTTGGGACACACTGACCTAAGAACTTCAACATACCGAAAATTGAACGGAGCATTTGTATTGGGGCTACTTCAGAACATTGAATAATTTCTGGGAAGAATCCCATAGGCCAAATTATAGCCACTACAATAAGGAAATTCGGTTAAGAACTTAATAATACCAAAAAAATTGGACGGGCTATGTCAAAATAAGTGAAGAGGAGGAAACTATTTCCAACATGTGGGTTTTATATCAATACCTGTACCTATATATCAAGAGGATCTTTATATGGAGGCAATGTCAAGAGTGAGAAAAATGCTGCTAAAAGCAAAAACCTCCGAAAGTGTATCAGACTTTGATGTGGGTGTTATATCAAAATTTGTACCTATATTAGCATATGGTGGCGATGTCAAAACATTAATATATAATGATAATTTTCTTGGCAGATGTATGCCAACCTCCAAAATCCCAAAATTCCACACTTCAGCTTTTATGTTGGTACATGCGACTACAACTCTCACAATTCCAAAACCAGTAAGGAAAGTAGTAAAGTCAGACTGGACCGACTATATGATACCCTTCACCACTTTAGGTATATTTTACATATGTATCCTTACAATTACATCCCAATGTTCCCTCGAAGGAAAATGTCTTTCTGAAAACTAGGCTGTGCTGTTAAAAATTTAATCTCAATCAGACAACCGTTCGAAATATATATATATATATATATATATGAAAGCTATAGTTGCGTACATATGGAAGCATAACCCAATAACATCCTTCAACTCTCAATTTGATACACTGTGCCAAATTTCGTGTAAATCGGATAAACATTAGGAGTTTGGAGCACCATTTATGTAAAATCGGACAAATATATATGTATAATTGGGGAACTATATGAAAATCTGAACCGATTTTTCCGAAATTTACCACACATCATTCCAGACTCAATTCAGTATGTTATGCCCTATTTCGTGCACAACGAAGGATATAAAGGGACTTTGGTGCACCATTTACATATAATCGGACGAAAATATATATAGGAGCTATTGGTATATAGAAGCTATATCCAAATCTCAACCGATTTTCCCGAAACTTACCGCTCAACATTCTAGTATCAACTCAGTAAGCTGTGCCAAATATCGTGCAAATCAAAGGATATAAAGGGACTTTGGTGCACTATTTACCTAAAACCGGACAAAAATATATATAGGAGCTATATCTAAATTTGAAGCGATTTTCACGACATTTAACACAGGTAGCTTTAGACATAATTCAGCGCGCTATGCCAAACTTGGTGTAAATCGAAGGACTTTTGTGCACTATTTAGAGCTATATCTAAATCTGAACCGATTTTCACGAAACTTGACACACATCATTCTAGACTTAATTGAGTGTGCTATGTTAAATTTCGTGCAAATCGGAAGATATATAGGTACTTTGGTGCCCCTTTTACCTTAAATCGGACGAAAATATATATAGGAGCTATATCTAAATCTGAACCGATTTTGGTGCACCTCAACATCGATTACTGCTATGTACCACCGGACACCTGATTGACGAAAAGCTGGCTCCTTCCACTTCAGCCAAGAAAGTATCCTCAACATCGATTACTGCTATGTACCACCGGACACCTGATTGACGAAAAGCTGGCTCCTTCCACTTCAGCCAAGAAAGTATCCCGACAATAACATCGACAATGTGAGCGGTGTTATTTCCGTGGATATTCCCAACCCCATTATCCTCGATGACACAAATACAAGCCTGGAAACATAATTGGACCCTCTCCTTGATCTGATTGAGGAAATCGGTTTTTTTCGCCTCAGGCAAGAAAGTATTCCAAAAAGACGCTATGGATAATCAAAGTGAGCGGGCAGTAGAAATTCGAGAATTCGAAAGCAGCACAAACAACCACGAAACGTATCCATGCCAAAGAAATCTCTGGCAAAATCATCTGCTGGAGAGCGTTTAATTTCTACAATCGGTTCATCGAATGGGACAGGAATTTTAATTGGCGACAAATAATTCCTTCAGATCTAACGAACCTCCAATTAATTTTAAAATTCTCATGGAGCTATGCGAATGACATTGCGATGGACTTCTTGATCGAAAGATCTTCGACGTCTCTTGTGAGGAGGATACAAATATGAGTATCACGAATTCAACGGGCAAAATGTGCCAGGTACTCAATCAGGACCTTTTAGAGTGGTCGCTGTATGTTGAGAAGTAATTGACTCCCCTAAAACACATGATCGAACGGAACAGGGACATGATTTCCAAAAAGGAATTCCTTCATATCAAGCGGTACCTCAAATACATTCAATATTTCTCACCGAGCTATCCGAATGACTTTGTGAGGGACTTCTTGAAGAAAAAAAGAACTTTTATGTCTCATGTTGACTTCAAGTACCCCTCCAACGGTGAAGAAGACTATGTGTAGCCTAAACACAACCGGGAAAATAATGTCAGTCAGGACCTTTTAGGGAGGTTGCTGAATGTTGAGACGTTCTTGACGCTATATTCCACTGTAAAAGAGGCTGAGCTTGTGTCGAAATCGTCTAGCAGGAAAGGCCGTTGAAAGGCCGAATGACATTGCGAGGGACTTCTTGATTGATAGATCTTCGACGTTTCTTGTGAAGATGACTTCAGGTACCCATCCAACGGTGATTAAAACTATGTGTATCGTGAACACAACCGGCAAAATGTGCCAGTACCCCTCCAACAGTGAAGAAGACTACTTGTAGCCTAAACGCAACCGGGAAAATTACGGCAGTCAGGACGTTTTAGGGAGGTTGCTGAATGTGGAGACGTTCTTGAAGAGGCTGAGGTTTTGTCGAAAGTCAGTCCGTAGAAAGGCCTATAAAAGGTCAGCCAAAACACAACACCTTCTACGCAACAATCTAACCTTTCAATCAGTCTTCTG